GCACAAAAGAGACGCGAGGACATTTGGAGCCGAGGAAGGGCAAAGACACCGTAGACAGAAGAAACAAAACTACACGTTGACACACGCAGAGGCGGGAACTGCCCTGCCCGGGACACGCTAACATCGAGGGGAAAAGTAATCCGTTCCCTTTACCTGACCGTAGGGCCCCGCTCCCGTACAGCCTTCTCCCCTATGCTAACTTTCAAACACTTCCCTGCAATTCCCAAACTCGGCCCCTCCTCTCGGCCCCGTTCGCTCGACTTAGCTTTCAGAGGGCCGGAGGTCCGATTCCGTCCTCGACGAAAGCAGCGCGGCGGCTAACTAGCACATTCCTGCAGTTGCCGCCTTCCTCTTCACCTGCAAGAAAACACCAACGGGAGAAAACACAACCGGCCGTCGGCATCGCGCTGCTCCGTGCCTACCTCTTCCACGACACCCGCCTGTACTCAGAAGCGTCGCGGGGTTCAGCTCACCGGCTCTTTGCAGAGTCAGATGCTGCAGCCGTCGTCGCTGGCGTTACCTAAGATACCGAGAGACAAAGTTACCCTTGCGCTTCCAACGAGTCACCCACGATCCTCCTTGCGACTACCCCGGCTCGCTTCAAACGCTCATCCGATCCCAAAGGCGGCTCCCAAAGCACCTGCAAAAACAAGGCGAGCGCTCAACTGAGCGGTCGTACGAGACTTCCGTATTAGACAACGACCTGGATGACAACTGCCTCACCTTCTCACACTGTCGGTCTGCGTGCGGCTCGGCCCCTCCGCGGCCATCTGCGGCACCTGCAAAAATCTCGAGGAAAAGACACCTGCCGAGAGTTACCGCCTGAAACTGGGGCCTGCCCGCACCGATTCCCATCTCCCGCTCCCTTACCTCGGCCCTTCACCTGCCCTGCCGCTGCTGGTTCCAGTTGTCACGTCAAGGCTCGCGTGCCACCTGTAACACACGGACCGCAAGGGACGCTTCTACTTTCACCGACAATTTGATGCCTAAAATAAGAACTGCTACTTTAACCCCCCCAGTCGTGGCTCACCTCGCCCAAGCTGCCTCCGGTGACAAAATCCTACTTTGCTTGTGGCTCTCCATCTAAAAAACAAAAACAACAAACGAAAAACACCACAAAACACACCACACACCGCTATCATCCCCTCAGATAGCACCGGTGCCATCTTCCCTCCCGCGCCGCTCAGTGACCCACCTTCTCACAGCCCTCCGCTCGCCTCCTCCGTCACTCTTCGGTGCGCGTCTCATCGATCTGCATGTGAAAGCAGTTAGGCGAGTCACCCCGATGCTTAACAAATCCGGAGGTGTCACTTCCGCCTAGGGATACTAGCCGGCATCCAACTACAGCCTGTTGTTAAAAAGAAAACCACGCGCCTCCCCCCAAAGCGTACGCTCCCACACCTACGAGCCTTAACACCTTTGAGATTCCATCTCATTTGCTACTGCCGGACAGCCGCTCCCACACCGCTCCAACAGTCTCCATAAAACGCTCTAGAAACGACCGTCCGCACGGCCTGCGGACGGCTACTACGAGGTGACCGTACGTCTGTCGCCTAGGCGGTCTAAGCGTATCAACATTTAAACCGTTGACTTCTACTGCTGTTCTACTTACTCCTGACTCTACGCCCCCCAGGCAGGGCAGCTCTGAGCCAAACAGGCACACGCATACACTAACGCTAAACGCTACGAAAGGTTTGATTCCAAGATAAACTCTAAGCGATAAGGACTCTCAGACAAGATACCATGTCAGGCGAGAAGACCTAGAGGGCCACAACCGGGAGGCGAGGAGGCTATACGGCAGCCCCAGAAAGAGTCACACGTTATGGCCCGTTATAAGAAGCTACCGTCAAAACCGAGACGCTGGATGAGAAGTACGAGTCCGAATCCTAGGATGGAGGGATGCAGGGCAGACGTCGCAGTCCGTGAAAACGGATGCCTAAGGAGCAGAGCTGATGCCGCAGCCGGCGACGATGCTGCGCGAAAGACTCTCGACCGGGAACTTCCAAGACCTACCCACGCTTTAAGCTGATAACGCAAGAATAAGAAAGCACCCGATCGACAGCGTGCCGACGAAGACGGGCGTTCGATAGCCTAGGGATGGCCCCCCAGGCGCGTGCCGTGCTCCTCGAGCCCAAAGAGAAGTGAGGACATTTAGAGCCGAGGAAGGGCAAAGACACGGCAGACGGAAGAAACAAAGTACACGATGACACACGCAGAGGCTGGAACTGCCCTGCCCGGGACACGCTAACATCGAGGGGAAAAGTAATCCGTTCCCTTTACCTGACCTAGGGCCCCGCTCCCGTGCAGCCTTCTCCCCCGTGCTAACTTTCAAACACTTCCCTGCAATTCCCAACCTCGGCCCCTCCTCTCGGCCCCGTTCGCTCGACTCAGCTTGCAGAGGGCCGGAGGTCCGATTCCATCCTCGACAAAAGCAGCGCGGCAACTAACTAGCACGTTCCTGCAGTTGCCGCCTTCCTCTTCACCCGCAAGAAAAAACAAACGGGACGGAACACAACCGGCTGGTCCCGGGGAGGCCACACAAAAAAATTTCTACCTGCCTGTTTTGCCAATCGACGGGGTTAACACAAAGGACACATACACCAAGCTAAAGAAATAATAGGCTTATTTTACTTTGGTTTAAAGCAGCAGAAAGAATAAGCGAGGTAACGCACCTAGTCATTACTACATAAAGCTAGCTCTAGGGATTAAGAAAGACACATCACCAATCGCCTTCGTACTTTACCATCATCCAGATCCGTGCATCAGCTGGGGAGCCCCGTCACAGCGAAGGGTCGGAGAGCCTTTCCCGGCAATTGGGAAGTCCCACGCAGTGCGTCCACTCGTAGGTAAGGTCTCCGTCTTTGCTGCGAGAGGGTCCGGCTTTTATACAGTTTAACAAACAAGTCTATACAAAATGCACAGGAGATATCTGGGAGGTCGATATGCCTCACTCGGGCACGTCCAGATCTGGCCAGGATCCGGGCCTGTCTGAGGAGTTACTCTTTTTCTGTACCTTTGGGATTTATAGTTACTTCCTGTCGTTTACGGATTGTTCCCAGGGATCGTTCCCAGGGGTGCATTTTCACGCTGATAAGATGCTGGTTGCTGGTCGGGGGATTCACTCAGAAGTCAACCTTGGTTTGAGGCCTATTGTTTGGCCCTTTTTTGTTTCACTGCCTTAAAAACGCCAGCCTGAGACAGACCCGCGCCCAAACATAGGCGACAACAGTCGCCTCGCAGACCGGCCGGGACCGGGGAGTAAAAACCCAGCCAGGGGACAGGAAAAGAAAAAATTTTTTGTCCCCCAGCTGCTTTGGGTTTTTGGGATTTTTGGTTTTGTGGGGGGTTTTTTTCTTTGTTTTGTTTTTTTTTTTTTTTTTTTTTTTCTGTTTGTTTGGGGTTTTTTTAATTTCTATTGTGTCTCTCTACTGCCTCTAAACAAAGCTACGCAACCTACAGCCCGTAAGGAAAAAACAAAACATCAACCATTCAGGCACTGCTACACACATTTTAAACGCCACACAGCCAGCTACCACTCAAACCACCACCTGCTCTCCCCTCGGCCACCCTACCACCAAAACCGACACAAGCCATCACCCTCCGTGATCCTCGGAAGCACCAGGTACGGGGGCCTCCAAAAATCGTCCTGCCTGAAAAAACTCCATTCTGAGCCTGACCCGCGCCCAAAGCTAGATAACGATCCTTGCATTGCACACCGGCCGGGACCAGGGAAAAACTACCCAGCCAGGAGACGGGAAAAACAGAAGTTTATTCCCCTGACAGAGTTTTTCATTAAATCCAGTCTGCGTAGTCCAATTGAGCCCCGCCTACATCCTGGAAGAAAAGAGACGACAAATACGCTTACACAGCTAGACACATTCTAAACATGCCGCTATTCCACCTACCGCCAAAACCAACCCCCACTCTCCACCGGCCCATCCTTCCGCCCAACCGTCACGACGGGCAGTCACCCCCTGAAGACTGTTCCTGGGGGACTCGAGCGCCTAGCCTGAGGAAATCCTGACCCAAACCTGACCTTCACCCAGACGCCGACCGTGACCGTCACCCTCAGAGAGCATCTGGGACCGGGTGAAAATAAACCCCACCGGGGAGGCAAAGACGTCACCCAGTTGGAGGATTTGTTTTCTTATTGAAAACAAACCCATATGGTATACCCGTGAACTCCATTCCACCTATCCCTGACTCCACACCCCCGGGCAGAGCAGCTCCGAGCCACACAGGCACACACAAAACACTACAAATGACGCGATTCAAAGAGGACTAAACGCTAAGCGATAAGGACACCCAGAAGGGTATGCCGTAAGGCGAGAAGACTCGGAGGGCCACGACGGCGACGCGAGGAGGCTATATGGCAGCCTACAAGAAGCAGTAAGTGGAACGGCCCCTTACGAGAAGCTACCGTCAAAACCGAGACGATGGGTACGCAAGAAGATGGGCTTCAAGACCTAAGAACGTCAGGATACGGGAAAGAAGTCACCGGCAGGAACAACGGATGCCTAAATAGCAGAGCTGACGCCAGAGCCCGCGACGACGCTGCGCAAAAGTCTCCCGACCGGAAACTTCCAAGACCTACCCACGCTTCAAGCTTATAACGCAAGAATAAAAAGCACCCGATCGGCAGCGTGCCGATGAAGACGGGCGTTCGATACCCTAGGGATGGCGCCCCAGGCGCGTGCCGTGCTCCTCGAGCACAAAAGAGACGCGAGGACATTTGGAGCCGAGGAAGGGCAAAGACACCGTAAACAGAAGAAACAAAACTACACGTTGACACACGCAGAGGCGGGAACTGCCCTGCCCGGGACACGCTAACATCGAGGGGAAAAGTAATCCGTTCCCTTTACCTGACCGTAGGGCCCCGCTCCCGTACAGCCTTCTCCCCTATGCTAACTTTCAAACACTTCCCTGCAATTCCCAAACTCGGCCCCTCCTCTCGGCCCCGTTCGCTCGACTTAGCTTTCAGAGGGCCGGAGGTCCGATTCCGTCCTCGACGAAAGCAGCGCGGCGGCTAACTAGCACATTCCTGCAGTTGCCGCCTTCCTCTTCACCTGCAAGAAAACACCAACGGGAGAAAACACAACCGGCCGTCGGCATCGCGCTGCTCCGTGCCTACCTCTTCCACGACACCCGCCTGTACTCAGAAGCGTCGCGGGGTTCAGCTCACCGGCTCTTTGCAGAGTCAGATGCTGCAGCCGTCGTCGCTGGCGTTACCTAAGATACCGAGAGACAAAGTTACCCTTGCGCTTCCAACGAGTCACCCACGATCCTCCTTGCGACTACCCCGGCTCGCTTCAAACGCTCATCCGATCCCAAAGGCGGCTCCCAAAGCACCTGCAAAAACAAGGCGAGCGCTCAACTGAGCGGTCGTACGAGACTTCCGTATTAGACAACGACCTGGATGACAACTGCCTCACCTTCTCACACTGTCGGTCTGCGTGCGGCTCGGCCCCTCCGCGGCCATCTGCGGCACCTGCAAAAATCTCGAGGAAAAGACACCTGCCGAGAGTTACCGCCTGAAACTGGGGCCTGCCCGCACCGATTCCCATCTCCCGCTCCCTTACCTCGGCCCTTCACCTGCCCTGCCGCTGCTGGTTCCAGTTGTCACGTCAAGGCTCGCGTGCCACCTGTAACACACGGACCGCAAGGGACGCTTCTACTTTCACCGACAATTTGATGCCTAAAATAAGAACTGCTACTTTAACCCCCCCAGTCGTGGCTCACCTCGCTCAAGCTGCCTCCGGTGACAAAATCCTACTTTGCTTGTGGCTCTCCATCTAAAAAACAAAAACAACAAACGAAAAACACCACAAAACACACCACACACCGCTATCATCCCCTCAGATAGCACCGGTGCCATCTTCCCTCCCGCGCCGCTCAGTGACCCACCTTCTCACAGCCCTCCGCTCGCCTCCTCCGTCACTCTTCGGTGCGCGTCTCATCGATCTGCATGTGAAAGCAGTTAGGCGAGTCACCCCGATGCTTAACAAATCCGGAGGTGTCACTTCCGCCTAGGGATACTAGCCGGCATCCAACTACAGCCTGTTGTTAAAAAGAAAACCACGCGCCTCCCCCCAAAGCGTACGCTCCCACACCTACGAGCCTTAACACCTTTGAGATTCCATCTCATTTGCTACTGCCGGACAGCCGCTCCCACACCGCTCCAACAGTCTCCATAAAACGCTCTAGAAACGACCGTCCGCACGGCCTGCGGACGGCTACTACGAGGTGACCGTACGTCTGTCGCCTAGGCGGTCTAAGCGTATCAACATTTAAACCGTTGACTTCTACTGCTGTTCTACTTACTCCTGACTCTACGCCCCCCAGGCAGGGCAGCTCTGAGCCAAACAGGCACACGCATACACTAACGCTAAACGCTACGAAAGGTTTGATTCCAAGATAAACTCTAAGCGATAAGGACTCTCAGACAAGATACCATGTCAGGCGAGAAGACCTAGAGGGCCACAACCGGGAGGCGAGGAGGCTATACGGCAGCCCCAGAAAGAGTCACACGTTATGGCCCGTTATAAGAAGCTACCGTCAAAACCGAGACGCTGGATGAGAAGTACGAGTCCGAATCCTAGGATGGAGGGATGCAGGGCAGACGTCGCAGTCCGTGAAAACGGATGCCTAAGGAGCAGAGCTGATGCCGCAGCCGGCGACGATGCTGCGCGAAAGACTCTCGACCGGGAACTTCCAAGACCTACCCACGCTTTAAGCTGATAACGCAAGAATAAAAAAGCACCCGATCGACAGCGTGCCGACGAAGACGGGCGTTCGATAGCCTAGGGATGGCCCCCCAGGCGCGTGCCGTGCTCCTCGAGCCCAAAGAGAAGTGAGGACATTTAGAGCCGAGGAAGGGCAAAGACACGGCAGACGGAAGAAACAAAGTACACGATGACACACGCAGAGGCTGGAACTGCCCTGCCCGGGACACGCTAACATCGAGGGGAAAAGTAATCCGTTCCCTTTACCTGACCTAGGGCCCCGCTCCCGTGCAGCCTTCTCCCCCGTGCTAACTTTCAAACACTTCCCTGCAATTCCCAACCTCGGCCCCTCCTCTCGGCCCCGTTCGCTCGACTCAGCTTGCAGAGGGCCGGAGGTCCGATTCCATCCTCGACAAAAGCAGCGCGGCAACTAACTAGCACGTTCCTGCAGTTGCCGCCTTCCTCTTCACCCGCAAGAAAAAACAAACGGGACGGAACACAACCGGCTGGTCCCGGGGAGGCCACACAAAAGAATTTCTACCTGCCTGTTTTGCCAATCGACGGGGTTAACACAAAGGACACAGACACCAAGCTAAAGAAAGAATAGGCTTATTTTACTTTGGTTTAAAGCAGCAGAAAGAATAAGCGAGGTAACGCACCTAGTCATTACTACATAAAGCTAGCTCTAGGGATTAAGAAAGACACATCACCAATCGCCTTCGTACTTTACCATCATCCAGATCCGTGCATCAGCTGGGGAGCCCCGTCACAGCGAAGGGTCGGAGAGCCTTTCCCGGCAATTGGGAAGTCCCACGCAGTGCGTCCACTCGTAGGTAAGGTCTCCGTCTTTGCTGCGAGAGGGTCCGGCTTTTATACAGTTTAACAAACAAGTCTATACAAAATGCACAGGAGATATCTGGGAGGTCGATATGCCTCACTCGGGCACGTCCAGATCTGGCCAGGATCCGGGCCTGTCTGAGGAGTTACTCTTTTTCTGTACCTTTGGGATTTATAGTTACTTCCTGTCGTTTACGGATTGTTCCCAGGGATCGTTCCCAGGGGTGCATTTTCACGCTGATAAGATGCTGGTTGCTGGTCGGGGGATTCACTCAGAAGTCAACCTTGGTTTGAGGCCTATTGTTTGGCCCTTTTTTGTTTCACTGCCTTAAAAACGCCAGCCTGAGACAGACCCGCGCCCAAACATAGGCGACAACAGTCGCCTCGCAGACCGGCCGGGACCGGGGAGTAAAAACCCAGCCAGGGGACAGGAAAAGAAAAAATTTTTTGTCCCCCAGCTGCTTTGGGTTTTTGGGATTTTTGGTTTTGTGGTTTGGTTTTTTTCTTTGTTTTTTTTTTTTTTTTTTTTTTTTTCTGTTTGTTTGGGGTTTTTTTAATTTCTATTGTGTCTCTCTACTGCCTCTAAACAAAGCTACGCAACCTACAGCCCGTAAGGAAAAAACAAAACATCAACCATTCAGGCACTGCTACACACATTTTAAACGCCACACAGCCAGCTACCACTCAAACCACCACCTGCTCTCCCCTCGGCCACCCTACCACCAAAACCGACACAAGCCATCACCCTCCGTGATCCTCGGAAGCACCAGGTACGGGGGCCTCCAAAAATCGTCCTGCCTGAAAAAACTCCATTCTGAGCCTGACCCGCGCCCAAAGCTAGATAACGATCCTTGCATTGCACACCGGCCGGGACCAGGGAAAAACTACCCAGCCAGGAGACGGGAAAAACAGAAGTTTATTCCCCTGACAGAGTTTTTCATTAAATCCAGTCTGCGTAGTCCAATTGAGCCCCGCCTACATCCTGGAAGAAAAGAGACGACAAATACGCTTACACAGCTAGACACATTCTAAACATGCCGCTATTCCACCTACCGCCAAAACCAACCCCCACTCTCCACCGGCCCATCCTTCCGCCCAACCGTCACGACGGGCAGTCACCCCCTGAAGACTGTTCCTGGGGGACTCGAGCGCCTAGCCTGAGGAAATCCTGACCCAAACCTGACCTTCACCCAGACGCCGACCGTGACCGTCACCCTCAGAGAGCATCTGGGACCGGGTGAAAATAAACCCCACCGGGGAGGCAAAGACGTCACCCAGTTGGAGGATTTGTTTTCTTATTGAAAACAAACCCATACGGTATACCCGTGAACTCCATTCCACCTATCCCTGACTCCACACCCCCGGGCAGAGCAGCTCCGAGCCACACAGGCACACACAAAACACTACAAATGACGCGATTCAAAGAGGACTAAACGCTAAGCGATAAGGACACCCAGAAGGGTATGCCGTAAGGCGAGAAGACTCGGAGGGCCACGACGGCGACGCGAGGAGGCTATATGGCAGCCTACAAGAAGCAGTAAGTGGAACGGCCCCTTACGAGAAGCTACCGTCAAAACCGAGACGATGGGTACGCAAGAAGATGGGCTTCAAGACCTAAGAACGTCAGGATACGGGAAAGAAGTCACCGGCAGGAACAACGGATGCCTAAATAGCAGAGCTGACGCCAGAGCCCGCGACGACGCTGCGCAAAAGTCTCCCGACCGGAAACTTCCAAGACCTACCCACGCTTCAAGCTTATAACGCAAGAATAAAAAAGCACCCGATCGGCAGCGTGCCGATGAAGACGGGCGTTCGATACCCTAGGGATGGCGCCCCAGGCGCGTGCCGTGCTCCTCGAGCACAAAAAGACGCGAGGACATTTGGAGCCGAGGAAGGGCAAAGACACCGTAGACAGAAGAAACAAAACTACACGTTGACACACGCAGAGGCGGGAACTGCCCTGCCCGGGACACGCTAACATCGAGGGGAAAAGTAATCCGTTCCCTTTACCTGACCGTAGGGCCCCGCTCCCGTACAGCCTTCTCGCCTATGCTAACTTTCAAACACTTCCCTGCAATTCCCAAACTCGGCCCCTCCTCTCGGCCCCGTTCGCTCGACTTAGCTTTCAGAGGGCCGGAGGTCCGATTCCGTCCTCGACGAAAGCAGCGCGGCGGCTAACTAGCACGTTCCTGCAGTTGCCGCCTTCCTCTTCACCTGCAAGAGAACACGAACGGGAGAAAACACAACCGGCCGTCGGCATCGCGCTGCTCCGTGCCTATCTCTTCCACGACACCCGCCTGTACTCAGAAGCGTCGCGGGGTTCAGCTCACCGGCTCTTTGCAGAGTCAGATGCTGCAGCCGTCGTCGCCTAAGATACCGAGAGACAAAGTTACCCTTGCGCTTCCAACGAGTCACCCACGATCCTCCTTGCGACTACCCCGGCTCGCTTCAAACGCTCATCCGATCCCAAAGGCGGCTCCCAAAGCACCTGCAAAAACAAGGCGAGCGCTCAACTGAGCGGTCGTACGAGACTTCCGTATTAGACAACGACCTGGATGACAACTGCCTCACCTTCTCACACTGTCGGTCTGCGTGCGGCTCGGCCCCTCCGCGGCCATCTGCGGCACCTGCAAAAATCTCGAGGAAAAGACACCTGCCGAGAGTTACCGCCTGAAACTGGGGCCTGCCCGCACCGATTCCCATCTCCCGCTCCCTTACCTCGGCCCTTCACCTGCCCTGCCGCTGCTGGTTCCAGTTGTCACGTCAAGGCTCGCGTGCCACCTGTAACACACGGACCGCAAGGGACGCTTCTACTTTCACCGACAATTTGATGCCTAAAATAAGAACTGCTACTTTAACCCCCCCAGTCGTGGCTCACCTCGCCCAAGCTGCCTCCGGTGACAAAATCCTACTTTGCTTGTGGCTCTCCATCTAAAAAACAAAAACAACAAACGAAAAACACCACAAAACACACCACACACCGCTATCATCCCCTCAGATAGCACCGGTGCCATCTTCCCTCCCGCGCCGCTCAGTGACCCACCTTCTCACAGCCCTCCGCTCGCCTCCTCCGTCACTCTTCGGTGCGCGTCTCATTGATCTGCATGTGAAAGCAGTTAGGCGAGTCACCCCGATGCTTAACAAATCCGGAGGTGTCACTTCCGCCTAGGGATACTAGCCGGCATCCAACTACAGCCTGTTGTTAAAAAGAAAACCACGCGCCTCCCCCCAAAGCGTACGCTCCCACACCTACGAGCCTTAACACCTTTGAGATTCCATCTCATTTGCTACTGCCGGACAGCCGCTCCCACACCGCTCCAACAGTCTCCATAAAACGCTCTAGAAACGACCGTCCGCACGGCCTGCGGACGGCTACTACGAGGTGACCGTACGTCTGTCGCCTAGGCGGTCTAAGCGTATCAACATTTAAACCGTTGACTTCTACTGCTGTTCTACTTACTCCTGACTCTACGCCCCCCAGGCAGGGCAGCTCTGAGCCAAACAGGCACACGCATACACTAACGCTAAACGCTACGAAAGGTTTGATTCCAAGATAAACTCTAAGCGATAAGGACTCTCAGACAAGATACCATGTCAGGCGAGAAGACCTAGAGGGCCACAACCGGGAGGCGAGGAGGCTATACGGCAGCCCCAGAAAGAGTCACACGTTATGGCCCGTTATAAGAAGCTACCGTCAAAACCGAGACGCTGGATGAGAAGTACGAGTCCGAATCCTAGGATGGAGGGATGCAGGGCAGACGTCGCAGTCCGTGAAAACGGATGCCTAAGGAGCAGAGCTGATGCCGCAGCCGGCGACGATGCTGCGCGAAAGACTCTCGACCGGGAACTTCCAAGACCTACCCACGCTTTAAGCTGATAACGCAAGAATAAAAAAGCACCCGATCGACAGCGTGCCGACGAAGACGGGCGTTCGATAGCCTAGGGATGGCCCCCCAGGCGCGTGCCGTGCTCCTCGAGCCCAAAGAGAAGTGAGGACATTTAGAGCCGAGGAAGGGCAAAGACACGGCAGACGGAAGAAACAAAGTACACGATGACACACGCAGAGGCTGGAACTGCCCTGCCCGGGACACGCTAACATCGAGGGGAAAAGTAATCCGTTCCCTTTACCTGACCTAGGGCCCCGCTCCCGTGCAGCCTTCTCCCCCGTGCTAACTTTCAAACACTTCCCTGCAATTCCCAACCTCGGCCCCTCCTCTCGGCCCCGTTCGCTCGACTCAGCTTGCAGAGGGCCGGAGGTCCGATTCCATCCTCGACAAAAGCAGCGCGGCAACTAACTAGCACGTTCCTGCAGTTGCCGCCTTCCTCTTCACCCGCAAGAAAAAACAAACGGGACGGAACACAACCGGCTGGTCCCGGGGAGGCCACACAAAAGAATTTCTACCTGCCTGTTTTGCCAATCGACGGGGTTAACACAAAGGACACAGACACCAAGCTAAAGAAAGAATAGGCTTATTTTACTTTGGTTTAAAGCAGCAGAAAGAATAAGCGAGGTAACGCACCTAGTCATTACTACATAAAGCTAGCTCTAGGGATTAAGAAAGACACATCACCAATCGCCTTCGTACTTTACCATCATCCAGATCCGTGCATCAGCTGGGGAGCCCCGTCACAGCGAAGGGTCGGAGAGCCTTTCCCGGCAATTGGGAAGTCCCACGCAGTGCGTCCACTCGTAGGTAAGGTCTCCGTCTTTGCTGCGAGAGGGTCCGGCTTTTATACAGTTTAACAAACAAGTCTATACAAAATGCACAGGAGATATCTGGGAGGTCGATATGCCTCACTCGGGCACGTCCAGATCTGGCCAGGATCCGGGCCTGTCTGAGGAGTTACTCTTTTTCTGTACCTTTGGGATTTATAGTTACTTCCTGTCGTTTACGGATTGTTCCCAGGGATCGTTCCCAGGGGTGCATTTTCACGCTGATAAGATGCTGGTTGCTGGTCGGGGGATTCACTCAGAAGTCAACCTTGGTTTGAGGCCTATTGTTTGGCCCTTTTTTGTTTCACTGCCTTAAAAACGCCAGCCTGAGACAGACCCGCGCCCAAACATAGGCGACAACAGTCGCCTCGCAGACCGGCCGGGACCGGGGAGTAAAAACCCAGCCAGGGGACAGGAAAAGAAAAAATTTTTTGTCCCCCAGCTGCTTTGGGTTTTTGGGATTTTTGGTTTTGTGGGGGGTTTTTTTCTTTGGTTTTTTTTTTTTTTTTTTTTTCTGTTTGTTTGGGTTTTTTTTAATTTCTATTTTGTCTCTCTACTGCCTCTAAACAAAGCTACGCAACCTACAGCCCGTAAGGAAAAAACAAAACATCAACCATTCAGGCACTGCTACACACATTTTAAACGCCACACAGCCAGCTACCACTCAAACCACCACCTGCTCTCCCCTCGGCCACCCTACCACCAAAACCGACACAAGCCATCACCCTCCGTGATCCTCGGAAGCACCAGGTACGGGGGCCTCCAAAAATCGTCCTGCCTGAAAAAACTCCATTCTGAGCCTGACCAGCGCCCAAAGCTAGATAACGATCCTTGCATTGCACACCGGCCGGGACCAGGGAAAAACTACCCAGCCAGGAGACGGGAAAAACAGAAGTTTATTCCCCTGACAGAGTTTTTCATTAAATCCAGTCTGCGTAGTCCAATTGAGCCCCGCCTACATCCTGGAAGAAAAGAGACGACAAATACGCTTACACAGCTAGACACATTCTAAACATGCCGCTATTCCACCTACCGCCAAAACCAACCCCCACTCTCCACCGGCCCATCCTTCCGCCCAACCGTCACGACGGGCAGTCACCCCCTGAAGACTGTTCCTGGGGGACTCGAGCGCCTAGCCTGAGGAAATCCTGACCCAAACCTGACCTTCACCCAGACGCCAACCGTGACCGTCACCCTCAGAGAGCATCTGGGACCGGGTGAAAATAAACCCCACCGGGGAGGCAAAGACGTCACCCAGTTGGAGGATTTGTTTTCTTATTGAAAACAAACCCATACGGTATACCCGTGAACTCCATTCCACCTATCCCTGACTCCACACCCCCGGGCAGAGCAGCTCCGAGCCACACAGGCACACACAAAACACTACAAATGACGCGATTCAAAGAGGACTAAACGCTAAGCGATAAGGACACCCAGAAGGGTATGCCGTAAGGCGAGAAGACTCGGAGGGCCACGACGGTGACGCGAGGAGGCTATATGGCAGCCTACAAGAAGCAGTAAGTGGAACGGCCCCTTACGAGAAGCTACCGTCAAAACCGAGACGATGGGTACGCAAGAAGATGGGCTTCAAGACCTAAGAACGTCAGGATACGGGAAAGAAGTCACCGGCAGGAACAACGGATGCCTAAATAGCAGAGCTGACGCCAGAGCCCGCGACGACGCTGCGCAAAAGTCTCCCGACCGGAAACTTCCAAGACCTACCCACGCTTCAAGCTTATAACGCAAGAATAAAAAAGCACCCGATCGGCAGCGTGCCGATGAAGACGGGCGTTCGATACCCTAGGGATGGCGCCCCAGGCGCGTGCCGTGCTCCTCGAGCACAAAAGAGACGCGAGGACATTTGGAGCCGAGGAAGGGCAAAGACACCGTAGACAGAAGAAACAAAACTACACGTTGACACACGCAGAGGCGGGAACTGCCCTGCCCGGGACACGCTAACATCGAGGGGAAAAGTAATCCGTTCCCTTTACCTGACCGTAGGGCCCCGCTCCCGTACAGCCTTCTCCCCTATGCTAACTTTCAAACACTTCCCTGCAATTCCCAAACTCGGCCCCTCCTCTCGGCCCCGTTCGCTCGACTTAGCTTTCAGAGGGCCGGAGGTCCGATTCCGTCCTCGACGAAAGCAGCGCGGCGGCTAACTAGCACGTTCCTGCAGTTGCCGCCTTCCTCTTCACCTGCAAGAAAACACCAACGGGAGAAAACACAACCGGCCGTCGGCATCGCGCTGCTCCGTGCCTACCTCTTCCACGACACCCGCCTGTACTCAGAAGCGTCGCGGGGTTCCGCTCACCGGCCCTTTGCAGAGTCAGATGCTGCAGCCGTCGTCGCCTAAGATACCGAGAGACAAAGTTACCCTTGCGCTTCCAACGAGTCACCCACGATCCTCCTTGCGACTACCCCGGCTCGCTTCAAACGCTCATCCGATCCCAAAGGCGGCTCCCAAAGCACCTGCAAAAACAAGGCGAGCGCTCAACTGAGCGGTCGTACGAGACTTCCGTATTAGACAACGACCTGGATGACAACTGCCTCACCTTCTCACACTGTCGGTCTGCGTGCGGCTCGGCCCCTCCGCGGCCATCTGCGGCACCTGCAAAAAACTCGAGGAAAAGACACGTGCCGAGTTACCGCCTGAAACTGGGGCCTGCCCGCACCGATTCCCATCTCCCGCTCCCTTACCTCGGCCCTTCACCTGCCCTGCCGCTGCTGGTTCCAGTTGTCACGTCAAGGCTCGCGTGCCACCTGTAACACACGGACCGCAAGGGACGCTTCTACTTTCACCGACAATTTGATGCCTAAAATAAGAACTGCTACTTTAACCCCCCCAGTCGTGGCTCACCTCGCCCAAGCTGCCTCCGGTGACAAAATCCTACTTTGCTTGTGGCTCTCCATCTAAAAAACAAAAACAACAAATGAAAAACACCACAAAACACACCACACACCACTATCATCCCCTCAGATAGCACCGGTGCCATCTTCCCTCCCGCGCCGCTCAGTGACCCACCTTCTCACAGCCCTCCGCTCGCCTCCTCCGTCACTCTTCGGTGCGCGTCTCATCGATCTGCATGTGAAAGCAGTTAGGCGAGTCACCCCGATGCTTAACAAATCCGGAGGTGTCACTTCCGGCTAGGGATACTAGCCGGCATCCAACTACAGCCTGTTGTTAAAAAGAAAACCACGCGCCTCCCCCCAAAGCGTACGCTCCCACACCTACGAGCCTAAACACCTTTGAGATTCCATCTCATTTGCTACTGCCGGACAGCCGCTCCCACACCGCTCCAACAGTCTCCATAAAACGCTCTAGAAACGACCGTCCGCACGGCCTGCGGACGGCTACTATGAGGTGACCGTACGTCTGTCGCCTAGGCGGTCTAAGCGTATCAACATTTAAACCGTTGACTTCTACTGCTGTTCTATTTACTCCTGACTCTACGCCCCCCAGGCAGGGTAGCTCTGAGCCAAACAGGCACACGCATACACTAACGCTAAACGCTACGAAAGGTTTGATTCCAAGATAAACTCTAAGCGATAAGGACTCTCAGACAAGATACCATGTCAGGCGAGAAGACCTAGAGGGCCACAACCGGGAGGCGAGGAAGCTATACGGCAGCCCCAGAAAGAGTCACACGTTATGGCCCGTTATAAGAAGCTACCGTCAAAACCGAGACGCTGGATGAGAAGTACGAGTCCGAATCCTAGGATGGAGGGATGCAGGGGAGACGTCGCAGTCTGTGAAAATGGATGCCTAAGGAGCAGAGCTGATGCCGCAGCCGGAGACGATGCTGCGCGAAAGACTCTCGACTGGAAACTTCCAAGACCTACCCACGCTCTAAGCTTATAATGCAAGAATAAAAAAGCACCCGATCGGCAGCGTGCCGACGAAGATGGGCGTTCGATACCCTAGGGATGGTGCCCCAGACGCGTGCCGTGCTCCTCGAGAACAAAGAGAAGTGAGGACATTTAGAGCCGAGGAAGGGCAAAGACACGGCAGACGGAAGAAACAAACTACACGATGACACACGCAGAGGCTGGAACTGACCTGCCCGGGACACGCTAACATCGAGGGGATATGTAATCCGTTCCCTTTACCTGTCTGTAGGGCCCCGCTCCCGTACAGCCTTCTCCCCCGTGCTAACTTTCAAACACTTCCCTGCGATTCCCAACATCGGCCCCTCCTCCGGCCCCGTTCGCTCGACTCAGCTTTCAGAGGGCCGGAGGTCCGATTCCGTCCTCGACGAAAGCAGCGCGGCAACTAACTAGCACGTTCCTGCAGTTGCCGCCTTCCTCTTCACCCGCAAGAAAAAAAACAAACGGGAGGGAACAAAACCGGCTGGTCCCGGGGAGGCCACACAAAAAAATTTCTGCCTGCCTGTTTTGCCAATCGACGGGGTTAACACAAAAGGACACAGACACCAAGCTAAAGAAATAGGCTTATTTTACTTTAGTTTAAAGCAGCAGAAAGAATAAGCGAGGTAACGCACCTAGCAATTACTACATAAAGCTAGCTCTAGGGATTAAGAAAGACACATCACCAATCGCCTTCGTACTTTACCATCATCCAGACCCGTGCATCAGCTGGGGAGCCTTGTCACAGCGAAGGGTCGGAGAGCCTTTCCCGGCAATTGGGAAGTCCCACGCAGTGCGTCCACTCGTAGGTAAGGTCTCCGTCTTTGCTGCGAGAGGGTCCGGCTTTTATACAGTTTAACAAACAAGTCTATACAAAATGCACAGGAGATATCTGGGAGGTCGATATGCCTCACTCGGGCACGTCCAGATCTGGCCAGGATCCGGGCCTGTCTGAGGAGTTACTCTTTTTCTGTACCTTTGGGATTTATAGTTACTTCCTGTTGTTTACGGATTGTTCCCAGGGATCGTTCCCAGGGGTGCATTTTCACGCTGATAAGATGCTGGTTGCTGGTCGGGGGATTCACTCAGAAGTCAACCTTGGTTTGAGGCCTATTGTTTGGCCCTTTTTTGTTTCACTGCCTTAAAAACGCCAGCCTGAGACAGACCCGCGCCCAAACATAGGCGACAACAGTCGCCTCGCAGACCGGCCGGGACCGGGGAGTAAAAACCCAGCCAGGGGACAGGAAAAGGAAAAATTTTTTGTCCCCCAGCTGCTTTGGGTTTTTTGGATTTTTGGTTTTGTGTTGTTTTTTGTTTTTTGTTTTTTGTTTTTTTTTTTCTTTTAATTTCTATTTTGTCTGTCTACTGCCTCTAAACAAAGCTACGCAACCTACAGCCCGTAAGGAAAAAACAAAACATCTACCATACAGGCACTGCTACACACATTTTAAACGCCACACAGCCACCTTTTAAACAACCTCTCAAACCACCACCTGCTCTCCCCTTGGCCACCCTACCAACAAAACCGACACAAGCCATCACCCTCCGTGATCCTCGGAATCACCAGGTACGGGGGCCTCAAAAAATTATCCTGCCTGAAAAAACTCCAGCCTGAGCCTGACCCGCGCCCAAAGCTAGATAACGATCCTTGCATTGCACACCCGCCGGGACCAGGGAAAAACTACCCAGCCAGGAGACGGGAAAAACAGAAGTTTATTCCCCTGACAGAGGTTTTCATTAAATCCAGTCTACGTAGTCCAATTGAGCCCCGCCTACATCCTGGAAGAAAAGAGACGACAAATACTCATACACAGCTAGACACATTCTAAACATACCGCTATTCCACCTACCGCCAAAACCAACCCCCACTCTCCACTAGCTCGTCCTTCCGCCCAACTGTCACAACAGGCAGTCACCCCCTGAAGACTGTTCCTGGGGGACTCGAGCGCCTAGCCTGAGGAAATCCCGGCCCAAACCTGACCTTCACCCAGACGCTGACTGTGACCGTCACCCTCCAAGAGCATCTGCGACTGGGTGAAAATAAACCCCACCGGGGAGACAAAGATGTCACCCAGTTGGAGGATTTGTTTTCTCATTTAAAACAAACCCATACAGTATACCTGTGAACTCTATTCCACCTATCCCTGACTCCACACCCCCAGGCAGAGCAGCTCCGAGCCACACAGACACACACAAAATACTTCAAATGACACAAGTTAAAGATGACTAAACACTAAGCGAGATAAGGACACCCAGAAGGCTATGCCATAAGGCAAGAAGACTCGGAGGGCCACGATGGTGATGTGAGGAAGCTATATGGCAGCCTACAAGAAGCAGTAAGCAGAATGGCCCCTTACTAGAAGCTACTGTCAAAACGGAGACAGTGGGTATGCAAGAAGATGGGCTTCAAGACCTAAGGATGTCAGGATACAGGAAAGAAGTCACCAGCAGGAACAACGGATGCCTAAATAGCAGAGCTGACGCCAGACCCCGCGACGACGCTGCGCAAAAGACTCCCGACCGGAAACTTCCAAGACCTACCCACGCTCTAAGCTTATAACGCAAGAATAAAAAGCACCCGGTCGGCACCGTGCCGATGAAGATGGGCGTTCGATACCCTAGGGATGGTGCCCGAGGCACGTGCCGTGCTCCTCGAGCCCAAAGAGATGTGAGGACCTTTAGAGCCGAGGAAGGGCAAAGACACGGCAGACAGAAGAAACAAAACTACACGTTGACACACGCAGAGGCTGGAACTGCCCTGCCCGGGACACGCTAACATCGAGGGGAAGAGTAATCCGTTCCCTTTACCTGTCTGTAGGGCCCTGCTCCCATACAGCCTTCTCCCCGTGCTAACTTTCAAACACTTCCCTGCAATTCCCAGCCTCGGCCCCTCCTCTCGGCCCCGTTCACTCGACTTAGCTTTCAGAGGGCCGGAGGTCCTATTCCATCCTCGACAAAAGCAGCGCAGCGGCTAACTAGCACGTTCCTGCAGTGGCCAGATTCCTTTATCACCTGCAAAAAAGCACAGAAGGGCACAGCTGCCGGTCAGTATTACGCTGCTCCCTGCTTACCTCTTCCACAACCCGCCCCCGTCCTAAGAAGCATTGCGGTGTTCCGGTCACCTGCTCGTTTTGGAGTCAGATGCTGCAGCCGTTGCCGCTTGCAGTACCTAGCTTACCGAGCGAGAAAGTTACCATTGCGCTTGTGAGAAGTCACCGGCCCCGTGCTCGTCCTTGCTACTACCCTGCTGCTTTCGGATGCTCAGATGATCCCAAAGGTGAAACTGTCTTATTAAACTATCTTGCCCTCCCAAAGAAAATTACTAATGTAAACTTAAAAAAAAAAAAAAAAAAAAAAAAAAAAAATTAAAAAAGCAAGCCACATATAAACGTTCTATCTCCTATATATGATGCTGAACCTTGACCGGTCCAGAAATATCTTACCTCAAATGACTCTGTTCCTCTAGAGATCAAAACACATCTGTCTCACAAGCTTAAATGGCTCAAAAGCTGCTACTGACTGAAGGACTGAGAGAGCACTGACACCTGAGAAACCCAGGAGTGGAATGAGCTCCCTGTTGAGCGGCTGGGGCTCATATACCCCGGGCCCCGCCCACCAGCCCGCCCACAATCCCCTGGGAAAGGGGCGGGGCCAAACCCCCACAGGTATAAAGTCAGCCAGAGGAGCAGAGGGGAATTTTCTCCTCTGCCTGAAATTTACAACACGCATAACGCTCTGTGGAGAAAGCAACTTTTACCAGAAATGATGATACCCGCTCTTTTACTGGGCCTGTTGTGTTGGCGATGCGACCTGGTAGGGAGTTCTGCTTAATTTTTCCAGGGTCTACATAGAAAAAGATGGGTATTTGATTAGGCTCTGTAACAAAAGAGTTGAATAAAGGCAATAGCGATACTCTTATCGACAACGATGTGCTTTAGTTTCCAAGAAAACAACCAAAATGCTATAGGGTTACGCTTTGTTTCTACCAAGACTCCACACGCTACCTAGCTTCTACTGGAATTATGCTGTGGATGGAACTAAATGACAAAGCGGGGGTAGATCCTACGAGAATCCCTCCTCTGGGAAGTCTGGAGGGGATCTGAATGGACTACGCGTGCTCTCTGAGCACCGGGGATGGAACAGACGCGTCCTAGCTACCATAGAGGAAGACGTGAACTTTCTGCAGACAAACTATAGCATCCGGAAAGGTCCTCTTGGCACGCGGAGGGCACAAAGCGCGCCGCTGTTTTGCCGATCGATGGGGTTAACGCAAAGGGCGCAAAGGCTGAGCTAAAGAGATAGGCTTATTTTGCTGGCTGTCTCGAGGTAATAAGCGATAGGTAAGAAACGAGGTGT